CCCTCACCATCCAAAATTATATGGTCAGTTTCTCCACCTCACCCCCTGCCACACAAGCACACCTTCCAACCTAATAGCATATTAACTATGAAAGCAGAGACTCTCCTTGTCTGTCTTCACAGGTGTGCCTAGTGTCTACTATTGGATAATAGACTTTCACAGCAGCATAATCTTTAAATAGTGAAAAAGTAGGAATTCAATAAATGGATTCAATGAATTGAGTGAGAGAAGGTGAATGTGGGCAAGATTTGGAGTCAGAGCATGCATTCATACCTATTATTTCCTATATCCTTTGATCATCCTTTTTAGTTGGTGGTCCGAGGAGGCAAGGGTTGCACATAAAAATTCAGTATGTCTCAACTTATGGGGTCTCTTTTATTTCTGTGTTTTTCCCTCCCTCTCTCTATCTCCAATTGAAGATGGAGAAGGAGGGAAAAGGGGAAGAAGCAGCAGCAGAAATCACCCTTCAGTATAGTTTTATACTAAGTATTTTTAGTATATTTTTATTGATTTCAGAGAGGGAGGGAAAGGGAGCGAGAGAAAAAAAATCAATGATGAGAGAGAATTATTGATCAGCTGCCTCCTGCACACCCCCCACAAGGATTTGAGCCCCAAACCTGGGCATATGTCCTGACTGGGAATCAAACCATGACCTCCTGGTTCATAGGTCAATGCTCAACCTCTGAGCCACACTGGCAGGGCTATACCAAGTATTTTAGAATAAAAATTTTAATTGATAATATCTAATGTTGATGAGACTGTAGAAAAACTAGTACACTCAAACTGCAAGTAAAAATAAATGATCTCTAGCACTTATTAAGCAATTATTCAGTGCAAAATACACACTTCATTTCATTTGGTCCTCACAACCCTATGAGATAGGAACTACTATTGTTCCATTTTATGCATCAAGAAATTGAAGCTTGCCTGGCAGTGTGGCTCAGAGGTTGAGTGTCAACCTTGGAACCAGGAGGTCACTGGTTCATTACCTGTCAGAGCACATGCTTGGGTTGTGGGCTTGGTCCCCAGTTGGGGGCGCGTGCAGGAGGAGGCAGCCGGTCAATGATTCTCTCATCATTGATGTTTCTGTCTGTCTCCCTCTCTCCCTTCCTCTCTGAAATCAATAAATAAAATAAATAAATAAAATTGAGGCTTAAAGAGGTTGACTGTAGAAACAGTATATTGATACAATCTTTTTTTTAAAAAGCAATGAAGGTAAGTGTTGTACCAAAACTATATAACATTTATATCCTTTAACCCAATTATGCCAACCTTGTAAATTTATTTTCTGGATTAATTTAAGAGAAGAAAGGAGCTAACTTCACAAAGACTTTCACTGCAGCATAATCTTTAAATAGTGAAAACGTAGAAACAATGTGGATGTCAAATAGCAAGAAAATTTATAGACCATGAACATGATAGAATATCCTGGCTATTGAAAGAATAATTGTAAAGTGTTTAAATATGGGAGAATGTTTTATGGTATATTAAATTAAAACTAAGACTATGAAAATATAATAACCATTAAGATACATGAATAAGAACCAGAAGGGAATAACTCCAAAATGAAAATAGTAGTGTTAAGAATGTAGGATTATAAAAGGGTTTTTTTCTTCTTTTTAAAATACTTGCTTTAATGTGATTACATTGTTTTTAATTTTAAAAAGGAAATACCCATGAAAATAGGAAAGAATGCTGAATTAGCCATGTATGTGTTCTGCTGAATAGAAACCTAATTAAAGCACCAGCTTAAGTCACTATATTGATCAATATCAAACGCACTTGAAAAATCCATATTTAGAACTGGTTTAATGAATTTATCAGCAATTTTGAAGATTCCTGGTTGATGTCCAGCAGGAAATCTATTATAACTTCTCCATGTCATGTTCCACCTTCATGTCCAAGCTTTACGTGAGCAGCTTTGATTAGTCTAGTTTGAGACATCAGTGATTTTATAGTTCTGACTTTTGGACTTGTTCGTAGATGTGATGTATCTTTTTTCAGAGAAGCCACAGTGTATGTATGTATCCACCTTCAGAATTCTGTGAACAGGAAAGAGACTCGAGGGACTTGGGGTTTGCCACTGCTTCTTCTGACTTGCATTCTTTAGTTTCTTAAAGACTTCCAACTGACTCTACCAAACCTGTTACAGAAAAACTAAGAAAGGCCACCTGTGAGAACTTTAGGTACATGGGGTCTCTTGACAGCATTTTGGGGTAACAGGGATAAAGCTTCAATAGCATTTCAGTTTTGACAATTGTCAAACACAAAGACAGCCAAATAAAATTACCTTTAATTTATGTTTATGGATTATCTTCTACCGTGAGTCAGGATTCCATTAGGTGTGGGGGTGAAGGAGAGAAGGAACTGGAAGGTTTAAATAATATATAGAGGAAGTTACCCCTAAATGCGATGCTCTCTCAAGCCAGCAACTCACGACTGGTTAGTCAGCCATGACTCTCAGTCATACAGATGATTGTCTTGACTTTACTAACCTGGAGTTTGGTAGGGGCAAGATTTTATTCAATGGGTCATATTCAGAGATGCCAGTCAGTATTGTTTCCTAAAAGACAAGAAAGCATTAATTTAAAATTTGTAATGATAAACCATTGGCACTATGATCCTAGAACTATGCTTTGTCTATATACTAGAGGCTCGATGCACGAAATTCGTACAAGAGTAGGCCTTCCCAGCCACAGCAGCTGCCTGGACCCCTCCTTCCTTCGACCCCTCCCTCCCTCACAGCGGCGGCAGCTACCTCAATCCGTGGCTGCAGCCCTGGCTTCATCCAGAAGGTCGTCCGGAAGGACGTTTGGTCTAATTAGCATACTACGCTTTTATTATTATAGATTTTTTTTTTTGTTAAAAATGTAATCTCCTCACCTCACATCTGTTAGACAAGAGGTGGTAAGTGCTGATGAGGATGTGGAGTAAAAGGAACCCTCGTGCACTATTTGTAGGAATATAAACTGGGGTAGCTACTATGGAAAACAGTTTGGAGGTTTCTCAAAAAATTAAAAATAGCCCTAGCTTGTTTGGCCCAGTGGATAGAGCACCAGCCTGCAGACTGAAGGGTCCCGAGTTCAATTCCGGTCAAGGGCACTGCCCGTGTTACGGGCTTGATCCCTAGTGTGGGGTGTGCAGAAGGCAGCCTATCAATGATTTTCTCTCACCGATGTTTCTATCTCTCCCTCTCCCTTCCTCTCTGAAATCAATAAAAAAATATTTTAAAAAATTAAAAATAGAACTATATGACCCAGCAATTCCACTCTGGGTATTTATCTAAAGGAATAAAAATCACTACCCTGAAGACACATCTGCATTCCATGTTAAGTGCAGCATTATTTACAATAGCCAAGACATGGAAACCACCAAGTATCCATTGTGGATGAATTAATAAAGAAATTGTTAAGCACACACACAAACACACACAATGTGGAATACTATCCAGCCATAAAAAAGAAGGAAATCCTTCCATTTGTGATAACATGGGTAGACTTTAAGGACATTATGCTAAGTGGAATAAGTCAGAGAAAAACAAATACCATATGATCTCACTTGTATGTGAAATCTCATGAACAAACTCACAGCAACAGAGATAAGATCTGTGATGGCTAGAGGTAGGGGGTGGGGGAATTAGGTAAAGATGGTCAAAAGGTACACCACACTTGCAGTTACAAGATAAATTCTGGGATGTAATGTACAACATGACTATAGTTAACAATACTGTATATTTGAAAGTTGTTAAGAGAATAGATCTTAAAGTTTTCATGATTAGGAATAATATTATAAGTGCCCTGGGAAGAAACATATAACCCAAGATACAAGCCAGGGAAGACAGCAAGCAAGTCTCTATCCTGGATTTAAAATGCAACTCAGCTCATTGGAATTCCTCTTGCTGACTCGCTCACCAACCAGACACTGGACCTTGTCTGAACCTATACTACCTGTCTGCTTGGAGTTTTGTAACATAATTGCTTTTTTCTGACGCAGATGTTTTCCTTAGCTTTGACTTCTTGCCAGACCAGACTAGCTTCACTTTACCTCTCTGAACCTCAGCTTTGCTCCTCTCTCGGATTGGACTGGAACTTTACATGGCAAACAGGGTTGTCGAGAATGAGGCATACATGTGAAGACATTTAACATTAATTCATTCTCAAATATTTACGGAGCACCTGTGCATAGATGCAATTACAGATAAGATGCAATCTTTGATCCAGGATCTCATCGCTGAGTTGATGAGCTGGAGAAGAAGTAAAAGGGCAATGACAATAGAGTGTGTTAAGGTAGAAGTTATGAGGCGTGCACAACTGGCCCTGGGACCACACAGAAGGAGAGTGTTTAGTAAAAGCTGATCCAATAAAGAGCAAAGCTGGCCAAGAACAGACTCAGGGGCTGCTGCCCTGGTGTGCAGGCAATGAGCCTGTCTACCACAGTCCACCTGAAGCCAAGTTCAGGCGACAACTATATAGAGAAGATGAAGGGAAGAGAGAATAGAGCAACCGTAACAACCTAAACTTCATATTAAACATCCATCAGGAAGCTCATATCTTACCTCTCCTCTGCAAATCTGGACGCTTCTTATAATGCGTTCTAAGAGGCCAACCTGCTCTGTGAGCTGGAGACTGTTGTCCTGTAATTGCTTATTTTCTTTATCCAGGAAAAGTACTCTAAGAATGGGATAAATCAGAGGCATGACTAAAAATGTCTACATTATTATTAAAAACTATGTCCCACTTCCCACTAGCTCTGTGTCTTAGCCCACTGTTCAGATTTTAGAACCAACTTTAGCATGCCAAGTGAAAATTAATAAGCTTCTGGCCTGTACATAGTCATTCAATACCTACAGAGGCATACTATGTGCAAGAGAATGAAAGGCATAGTTCTAGCCCTTGAGTCACATCAGGAAGGATATGATCCCATTTAGGAGTGGAACTGAAAGAAGAGACTCTGCATCCTTTCAAATACAGTAACTACAGCCCCTGAATCTAGTTTGATCTCATGCAGTCATCCCCTACATTAGTAGTAGCAGCAGCAACCATTTACTGACTAGTTACCATGTACTCAGGCACTGGAACCTATCCACATAGAAAGCACTTCAAACTTTTCATGTGTTAGCTTGCTGCTGGGGTCCAGCCAATCAGGACTGAGCAAGACTGGCTGGACACTCACTGGAGCCCTCCCGCGGCCCTTCCCAGCCCCGATTGTGCACCTGTGGGGTCTCTCGGCCTGGCCTGGGCCCTCTCGCAACCCAGGACCCCTCGGGGGATGTTGGAGAGGGGGGTCCAGCCAATCAGGACTGAGCAAGACTGGCTGGACACTCACTGGAGCCCTCCCGCGGCCCTTCCCGGCCCCGATTGTGCACCTGTGGGGTCTCTCGGCCTGGCCTGGGCCCTCTCGCAACCCAGGACCCCTCGGGGGATGTTGGAGAGCCAGTTTCAGCCCAATTCTGCAGACCAGGCCAAGGGACCCCACTGGTGCACAAATTTGTGCACTGGGCCTCTAATTATCTCATATAATCACAACAACCTCACAAGATGTTGTTATGAAGCCTATTTTACAGGTGATGAAACTGAAGCTCAGAGAGGGGACAGTAATTTGTGTAAGAAGATTAAAACTAGAAAGTCATAGAGCTGGGATTGCAACCCAGAACTTTCAAACTTGTAACGCCCGAGGTCCTCACCGCTTTGCCAGGCCCACTCTGCAGGTCTGCAGTTTATACAGGACACATGAGAGTGCAATCGTTTTAATCAGAGGTTTATGTTTGAGTTTTGCCACTTACTAGCTATGCGACCAGGGCAAATTACTAAATGTGAGTCTCAGTTTCCTCATCTGTAAAATGAGGAAAACTCCCGTAGAGAAGCTTACTCTAAGGCAGCGGTTCTCAACCTGTAGGTCACGACCCCTTTGGGGGTCGGACGACCCTTTCACAGGGGTCGCCTAAGACCAGCAGAAATCACATATATAATTACATATTGTTTTTGTGATTAATCACTATGCTTTAATTATGTTCAATTTGTAACAATGAAAATACATCCTGCGTATCAGATATTTACATTACGATTCATAACAGTAGCAAAATTACAGTTACGAAGTAGCCACGAAAATAATTTTATGGTTGGGGGTCACCACAACATAAGGAACTGTATTAAAGGGTCACAGCATTAGGAAGGTTGAGAACCACTGCTCTAAGGAAAACGTAAGTTCAGTCCAGGTGACCAAGTGTGTCTTCAGGAGGGCAAGACAGGGACATTATTAATAGGGAGATACAGCAAGAGGAACTTCAGTGAGCTGAGTTGCATTTTAAAGAGTCAATTGTGTTGAGACAGTCAGAAGCAATGGCATAGTTTGAGAAGGGCCATAAATTATGTGGAATATATAAAAGGGGGTAAATAGATAGTAAAAGATAATTAGAGCTTCTCCATGCCTGCCTGGAGCAGCATGTATCCATAATCAGTGGAAAGGAAAGTTCTAGTTTGCTTGGCAGATTTCTCTTCAGGCTGCAGTGCCATGAGTTCTGGTATCATGCTGCCCTGACACTGACTAAACTGGGCGAGTTCCCTAACCAATCTGGACCTCAGCTTCTCACCCATAAAATAGGTTATAATAGTGTCTCCCTCCTGGGATTGGTATGAAGACAAAATAAACATATTTAGAGATAGCTTAGAACAGTGCCTAGCATATAGCAAATGCTCAAAGTGTTCATTATTATAGGTATTATTGGTGATACTGTCTGTTAAGATCAACCCACACTCTTTGCTCTGACTCTGTGCTCTGAAGAAACTTTTGATGGTAATTAAAGTTTCCTATAGAGGAGAGAATGCTTGAGCTAGCTGATCTGTGAATTCTTATCTGCTGAGAATATTCTCCACAAATTAATACATTGGTAGCCTGTGAGTTTCATGAATTTAAATTACTAGTGTGAGCCCGTTTCTCTCTTGGTCTACCTTGATTCCATAGGTATCAAATGATAAAAATGAGTGTCAACACTCACAAAGTGACAGGCCAGAATGAGCATAGTGGGTCCTCAAGGAGGCAATGCCATCATGAATGAGGTTCCTGAATGGCCAGCCCACCTTCTCCATGATATTTTTCTCTGTGGTTTCACAACTTCTGCCCCTTGTATGAACTGCTGAAAACAGCAGACAGCAGAGCAACATGATGAGATAGGATGTAAGCTCAAAGGACAGTCTCAGGAAGCATCTCTCTGTTGAGGGAGAAACATCTCCTTTGGATTCACTGGCAACGGTGGCAGGACCACACCCACCTGTGCTGAACAGACGATATCGTGCATTTGTTGTCATGGATCAGTTTTTCTTGCTCCATGAGCTGCTCCAGAAGCTTCCTGTTTTCTAGGAGCAGGTTATCATTTTGGGCAGTGACCTGGTCCTGGAATGCCTTCTCCTATGAGTAAAAGCAAAAGCCCCCTCATTACCACAGGAGGAAAAATGATCAGTTTCAGAACATCAGCCTGGTTATAACTCCGATAGCAAATTTCCCTTATTTACTTTTTCTCTCTTGTGGTCTAGGCTGTTTTCACCTTTTTGCTGACATTGTCAGCTAGATTGTTCCATATATTTTGGGTACTTATGTCATGTATTTTATTTGGATATTTACTCATTCTTTTGGGGTATCTGAGCACTCAACTTCTAATAAGGTCCCAATGATCTCAACTATATTCTAACTACATTAATATCAAATCACAGGCAAATACAATTGAATTCTTTGAAGCTCCAGATTGAAAAAACAAATTTCCCCATAATGGATTCCCTCTTGCTTTATAGTTATAGTATTTTTAAGGCAAAGAGAGGAAGATGGGAATTCAGCCACCTGGCTTGGCAACCAGTATCAGGATCTCAGTTGGGTTGGCAAGTCAAGCATGTGAGCCAGGCACTAATAGGATTCCTGCAGTGAGGATGCTGAAATGATCTCTAGCTGGGCACCATGCTTCATTTTCTACCAATGATTTCCCCTGAAAACAATAGCTAGTGAAGTAGCTAAAACGAAAAAGGAGTATTTTTTGTGAAAAAAGCACTAACATTCTTATAGTGAGTCAGTAGATATTAGTAAATATCTGTTGTTGAAGACTTTAGGAGCTCAAAAGTGTAAAAGTTCCCTTCTCATTTCACCAGTTACTGTCAATAGTAGCAAGGCCCTTGCCAGTTTGGCTCAGTGGAGAGAGTGTCAGCCCAGGTTCAATTCCGGTTAGGCACATACCTTGGTTGGTTGCAGGCTCCATTCCGGCTTTGGCCGGGGTGCGTGCAAGAGGCAACCAATTGAGGACACATAAGTGTTTCTCTCTGTCTCTCCCCCTCCCTTCCACTCCCTCTAAAAATCAATGGAAAAATATCCTTGGTAAGGATTAACAACAACAAAATAGTAGCAGGGAAGAGCTTTCACCTTTTCGTGTGTGTTCCTCACCTGCCAAGGGTGGAGGATGTGGGGGTAGGAAAAGAATGACCTCTGGCAGAGGGGTGAATCACAGAGTTAAGAGGGGTACGTTTTTTTTTTCTTTAAAATAATATACTAATATAGAACATTCAGAAAAAAACTGCTCATATATGTGGAATCTTAAATAAAAAACAAACAAATAAAAAACAGAAAACAAATTGGTGGTCTCAATAAGGGTGCTCAAAAATATTGTAGAAGGTAATTGGATTACATCTTTAAAGGGTGAGGGTTCCCATACTGAGAGACTGGGAGCCACCGATATCAGGAATGGTGAAGAAATCCAGCAAAAATGAGTGTGCATTTGGGGATCATTTCATAATATATACAAATACCAAATCATTATGTTGTATACCTGAAACGAGTATAATGTTATATGTCAATTATATCTCAAAAAAAAAGAAAGAAAAGGAAAAAACTGTCCATCAGAGAGTTATAAAGAAGGAGATTATATTATGTTCTGATACAAACCAGATTTTACTCTTTCATCCAGAACCTTCAATGTCTAACAGTAGTCTCCCCTGATATTATTTAAATACATTTATGGTTAGGATTGAGAATAGAAGGAGCCATCCCGAAATAATACTCTATGCAGCCACAACTGGATTAGTAAGGAAATTGAGTGGAACAGGCTATTGACACCCTGTCCTTTGGAAATACCATACTTCTTTGAACCAAAAAAATCAGGACACTTGCTCCAATAATAGGGTAAAATATTTGGGGACATCTGGTTTGGATGGTCACAACAGTCAGAGGACTCCACTGGTTCACTGTATATAGAGAAGGCTGAAAAATTAAGCCCAAAAAGGTGACATTATTTTCTGGACATTTGGTGCTTAGAAAGTGAGCCCAGCTTTTTAATGCTCAGGGCTCTGGTCCATGGGCCCTAAAAAAGTAAACTCTGGACCACCAGGTTTGTACCACTGTGGGTCTTCCCTGGGTGATTTCCAATTCTAGTAATAAGTTCTCTTGCGAACTGTGCACCCACTGATCAACATGTGCCCAAGAGATTTTACACCAAAAAGAAGGCTGTAAAAATTTGTATGTGCCAGGTACCACTTTAGGCATTTCATATTTTAATCCTGGTGAGGGAGGGATATATTTCCCCCACTTCACAGATGAGGAAAATGAAGGGAAAACATTACTGACAGAGTCCATTGCTCTCCATTTTGAATTTATGTAGTTTAATGATCTCAAGACCATTCTGCCTTGGATTCTATCCACCTGCCCCATGTCCTCCCTACCCACACACCAGCAAGTCATAATGGCAATAAGGCAAACACAAGGAAACCAAGGGTATTTAGAAATAAGCTTGTGGGCACTAATTAAGGATTGATAAAGGAATAGGGGTGACCTAGTTTCACAGCCATTTAAAACTAACAGGAGTTTGAGGCAAATGAGGGCTTATAGAAATTAGGAAGGAATGAGTTACCGAAGGTGTTTCGGCACTCTTTGCTGACAGGTGTTTAAGAAAATATATTTTCACTTGAAGGCAAGACACAATTATAAGCAGGCAGTGCAGACTATTTTCAGTGTCCATTTTGAGCATCACTATGAGTCTTAAATTCCTTTTTGGCAGAGCTTTAACAGTTATTGAAAAAAGGTGCAAGAAAAGACATGAAAACATGGGCTATGAAGAGGCCACAGATAAATTTTTTTAAATGAGGGGGTTTTCCATGACTGACCACCAGCACCATCAGTGAGCTCGTCGCCTTTTTTACTCTCACCTTTTCTAATTTTTGCCGCAGTATTCCAATGTCATTTTCAAGTAGTTTAATTCTCTCATCTCGAAGCTCTACTTCGTGAACGAAACGGCTCTTGATTCTGTGAAGCTTGGTTTTGTGATGATAATATTTGTTATTATAGTTTCTATAAAAATAAATTTGAAAACAGGCACACTTGAACACAGTGAAATTTTATTTTGCCTCCTCAATATGCACCTCTCTTGGGTTTCCTCTTCTTGCTTTGTCAGGGCCTGGCACCAGACAGGGATACTTGTCCTGCCTCAGCTCTGCAGTACTTTTTGCCCTCAAGTAGGGGAATGGACCTAGAGAACACCAGCTTTTATTCATCACCATGGACTCAAGTCTCTGGCTTATCTTGGTCTTGAGCTGATGAGTGTAAGCTATGCTTACAAGTTTAATTTTGGAAACTCCTTGACTTCTGATCCCTGCTCCACTGATTCCGTCATCAATTTTAAATTTTCTAGTTCTTAGCTATGCCCTTGTATAGTAATGTAACCCACTTCAATATTGTCTATTTTCCAGATAACTAGGTCTGCTCTCAGTCCTTACCTTGAGTCTGGATTTTTAAATGCAAATTCTATATAGGTCTCTGCTCTGCTCAAGACTTTTATTCTGATTCTGACATAAATCTTACCGCCAATAAGCACAGGAAAAAATGTTCAACATTATTAGCTATTAAGGAAATGCAAATGAAAACTACAATGAAATATAACTTCACAGCCACTAGGATGGCTAAGATAAAAAAGAAAGATCATAACAAGTGCTGACAAGGATGTGGAAAAATTGGAACTCTCATACACTGATATTAGGAATATCAAATGGTACAGCCTCTTTGGACAAAGCCTGGCAGTTCCTCAAATGAGTAAATATAGAGCCATATGACCCAGCAGTTCCACTCCTAGAGAAAGTCTAAGAAAATGAAAACATATGGCCCAGCTGGTGTGGCTCAGTTGGTTGCGCATCTTCACATGCACTAAGAGGTCACTGGTTCAATTCCCAGTCGGGGCTCATGCCCAGGTTGTGGGCTCAATCCCCAGTAGAGGATGCACAGAAGGCAGCATATTGATGTTCTTCTTTCTCATCAATGTT